GGCGAGGGCCCGCCGGGTGCGGGCCAGAGCCAGCAGCACATCGAGTGCGTGGTGTGCGGGGACAAGTCGAGCGGCAAGCACTACGGCCAATTCACCTGCGAGGGCTGCAAAAGTTTCTTCAAGAGGAGCGTCCGCAGGAACTTAACTTACACATGCCGTGCCAACAGGAACTGTCCCATCGACCAGCACCACCGCAACCAGTGCCAATACTGCCGCCTCAAGAAGTGCCTCAAAGTGGGCATGAGGCGGGAAGGTGAATATTTCTTCTCTGCTTCTCTCCCTGCGCTTCGCCCGCCTCCCTGGCTCTCTTTTCTTTCTGTGTCGCCCGGGTGACTGCTGTGTGGGGCTGGGGCTCCCGTGGTCCCGGCCCGTCCCAGCTTTCCTGTCCCTGCTGCCTTCCTCCCCCGGCGTCTCCCCCCACCCCCCAGCTCGTTGCCTCTGCCTCTGCCTCCCCCCCCAGGCCTGCGCTCCTCTCCCTGGCTCCCCACCCCGCCCGCTGCCTGTCCAGGATTGTGTCCCTGGGATCGTGAGCTGTGGCTTAAAATCCCCTCCCTTCCTCTGTCTTGGATGTGCTTGGTGTGTGTTTCTTTCCCGGGTGTGCGTGAGGATGCTTGGGGCTGTGCTGGCATGAACTTGGGGAGGGGTGCTTATTTCCCCCAGAAAAGTCCGTGCCTGCGCTTTTTCATTCCACTTTTCCTCCCCACCTCTTCATATCCTTTATTTAAAATGGGGGAGGGCTGGGGGTTGGAGTACCCTGAACTGTAGATTCATTGCTGCCATCATCCTTTTGGAAGCTTAGCTTGGAAAAAGAGGAGTGAGATTTATTGCACTTGTAGGTCTAATTAGGGGGGAAGGGGGGCTTCTGGCCCGTTCACTGGTTCCCTCTCCTCTTCATGGAGCTGGGGCCGCCTCCTCCAGAGCTGTGGCCTTGTTTTCACCCCTCTACTTTGAAAGGAAAGTTTGTGACTGAACCGTGCTTTCATAGTTGTGTCATTTTTTTTAAAGCATGATACTCGTTTTATTTCTTCATCAAACTCCACCCTCTGCTTAAATACTGCATACAAATTACAATTTACAACAGGCATTTACCGATCCTTCTGATTTGGCCATAATACGTAGACTGCAGCTGGCATGAGCTTCCACATCATTTAATCCCTGTGTTGTATTGGTTTGTTTTTTTTAAACACAACTTTTGATGTTGTATTTGGATATGCTTCATGTTCATGTGGCAAGGGATGCAGCACTTTTCTTATAAATATATTTAGCCGTTTACAGTTAAAGTTTATCTCCTGACAATCATTAAAGATGTCTTATAGTCAAATTAGCGAACCAGTCAATTTTGCAGAATGCAGATTACTCCTTCTTGTAATTGACTTTAAAATTATATTTTATATGCCACAAGAAAAGAAATTGAATTCCTTCAGATCTCAAGGAGCAGGCAAATATGACGACTTCATTTCTAGCTCCAGGGAGATTTTGTAGGCATCTGGAAAAAAAAAAAAAAACTTTGAATTGTGCTCTCACTTAATTGAAAAATAACTGCCAAGTTCAAAAGTATAATTAGAAAAAAAATATTCTAGCCATTATGTTTCAAGAGCTTAAATTGCACTGGAACTTGCATTAAAATTAGAATCAAGGCAAACTTAAGAAAACAGGGCACAACCTGAAAAAAGACAGCTACATGGACATGGACATATCTATATTAATTTGTTGGGGGGAGAATTCAGTAGCCCTAACTTTTCCTAAAGTTGTCTTTGTTTACATGGCAATTTAAAATGCTGGCACTGTTGAAGTAAAACATACACATTAAAAAAAAAAAACTTTGGTCAGCTTTAAGAACTCAAAGCATGCTTACGTTTTGCATTCAGATGGTTAATGAATCCAGTGTTTTTGCAGTTGCAAGCTCGTGCATTCACTGGGCAAAAGCTGGCTGCAGGTTGCAGTGGCACCGCGCAGGACAGACATTAATTATATTCCCCACTTTTTTCAATAATGTTTGGCTACTGTAAGTTCAACTTTTTTCTTGGAATTTTTTAATTTTCTGTTGCTTTTAATAGTGAGAAGTTTGTGTGGGGCCATGGGGAGGAGGGGAAAAGGGAGGGGTGCAGGATACTTGTTCTCTATTCAAAAGTTGTAAGTGGTTAGCGGGATAAGTAACTTGTATGTATTTTAAGGATAATTGTATAGCATTTTTAGAGAATATGGAAGCATTTTATGAGCAAAACGCTGCTTACTTGTAAATGAAGAGGCCGCTAGGCTTTTGCCTAGAACCACAACCATTCTCTGGTTTCTCCTTTAAAAAAAAAAAAAATCCTTGATTTATTTCATTCTGGACGGTTGAGTGGGACTTCAGTTATCTGTGTGTTCCTCCTTGGTGGACAAGGGATTGGGTGGTACTTTCTGGTCATACCGGGCTGGGGGCCCTGAAGTCAGGCCTAGTTCAGCGGGGCTGAGATGGCCAGGGGCACAGGCAGTGGCTGGACACTTGGAGCTGTGGAGCTGGAGGGCCTCACCCCAGCTCTCCTCACGGTGAAGGCTGTGAGTGAGAGCGAGCGGGAGAAGATGGGGCGCGAGAGGCTGCGGGAAGAGCTTCTGCATTGTGTCGGGCGCTGCGGCGTGGCGATGTTCGCAAGCCCCCTGGATGCACATTGCCTCTTTTCTCTCTTT